AGACTGTTTTGATAAACCTGAAATGACCAGCTTTGAGCGTGAATTGAAATTCATTTGTTGGACTGCTGATAACTAAGAAGTCCGGGTAAACAAGTGGAAATTTGGTTAGGTAATGCTTATTTCATCCATGTTTCAAATGTGTGAGTCGCAGCAACATCATTCACGATTTCCACTTTTACGAGGGCAATGTTGGCACGAAATACCGATGAAATTACTCCACTCTAGTCCCTAATAAACAAACAAAGGAGCCAAATGCCGGCCGTCATCTGCCCCGCCATAGCAAACACAGCTCTGAAAGCTCGAGTGCCGCATCTGAGTGGCCCATTTGGCCCGTGTCTCGGCCACAATTCGACCACGCTCATGCGGTCCGAGCACGCCCGCGTGCGTGCGTGGATCCCCGCTACTACGACTTCTGCCCGGGGGCTCGAGTCGACCCGCGACTGTCTGACGAGCCGCCATTGGTGCTCGGATGAGCGGCCGACAGTGGTTGGCCGAGACCCGGAGGCCCGGTCGGATCGAAGTTGCTCGGAGCAGCAGCGGAGCAGACGAATTCTCTGGCAACATCGCACGACGAAAGGCAGTTAAGAGCGCCGACGCATACCAAGGGCGAATGCATACAGAACAACGCACGTATACTAGAGCTGCGATGGCGGCTCTGGAGGCAATAAATACAATAATGATACAGATGGTAGGCTAGTGGTGGATTTCCGCGACGTATGTTAACGTCAGCGGTATGCAATATCGACAGTATTGGATCAAGATATTGCGTTTTGTCGTTACATTGTGTCGATATTCTGAGCCAGTGACCGGCACCGATAGAGCACACACATTCCTTTGGCAGTACAGTTTTGTCCGGCTTAATCATATAAATAATGTAGCATATTTTATTACACTTTCCTGCAAAATAATTTACACAGAACTAACTCTGAAATGAAAGAAACCCCGAAGCAATTGAAATCGAAGGGCAACATATTGCAAGCAATAAGCATTGCTAATTGTAATTGCGTCGCTTCATTTTCATTACCTATCGGAAATTAAGTCCGACGGAACTTTACATCTTGTCCGAGCTGGAAGCCGTGTTCAAACGCCCCTATCGTTATCGCGCACAGGTGGTCGGCGGAGCGATGGTAAGCGTTTAACAGCGTATACAGACGCTATCGCATTTCATCAGCTTACCGAGCCGTCGGCGTTACAGCGGGTCACAAGGCTAATGACGAGCCGCGTGGGCGGGCGGGGCGGGGGGGGGGGGGGAGGGGAGGGGAGCTGTGCTTACGTCATGATGACGGTGCACGGCAAGGGGTCGATTACATAACAAGGCACATGGAAGATGTCCCATGGGAGTTTTTTTTACCTTTGTTTTTCCGTAATAAAGAACATGCATTATAGCTCATGATTCCCCAATCATTGTCCAAACATGATGTTAACCCGCGACCGCCTGGGGGGGGGGTCGGATCCGACCCCCCTCCGTTTTTCTTGAATAACTCATGAACCGCTTGCGTTATCAACTTGAAACTTGGCATACCTTCTCCCCCATCAATTTGACGTCTCCTGTGCAATATTTAAGAAAAAAATTTCAATTTTTTTTAGATATATCGATTTTAGTGATGTAACTTCATGGCGTTTTCAGTCAAAAAGTGGTAAATGTTTAAAAAATCACCAAAAATCGAGGTTTTAAGCAAATTGCAAATTGAGGACACGAAAAGACGCAGCTCAACGAGTTCTTTAAAATGGCTATCTCGGATTTTCCATAAAATGCGTTTTTCACCCCTAAAAATTCAAAAAACTATATTTTTTGGAAAACAGCTAATAAAATCCAAAATTTTGAGAATTTCCAAAAAACCGGAATATATGTTATAGAGCTCTATTAGAACATTAGATGTCCCCAATTTCAACTTTCTATCTTGATTTTTGACCCCCAAATTGTAAAAAATAGCTCCAACATGCATAGGGCATGGTGACGTCATAAGCATTTTCGCGAATTAAAGGCACTTCTGAACATCGCATGTGAAAACAAATGGCACCACCAGATTCCTGGGACAAAGTTCGTCTAGAAAAGTGCATTTTTATGTCAAAAATAAAAAGCTGAAAAATTGACTTTTTTTCTTAGCCCTCGTTTAGTTATGTATGGTATAAACGATTTTTTTTGCTTTCAATGCACACTTATCACCAGCACAGTGACTTGGGGTCACATATAACCATTACCATCGGATTTGGCGTGAAAAATAAGCCATAAAACATGTGTCGCACGCCCATGTAGCAGAAAGTGAAAACCGTGACCTTTCGTGACCTGACCTGACCTCGACCCGTACTTAGTATGACCCCTATACGCACATGGTACCTTCACTAGGTCTATGAGGTCATTTGTGGTGAGTTTCGAGCAGCAGCTATCGATTCCGCTGTCCGTAAGCCTAATCATGCAAAACCCCTGAATTTGACCTTTTACCTGACCTTGACCCGAAAGTTGACCTCAATCTTAAAATCTTAAGAGTGCTTTGGGAAGGTCTCGTAGAGACCTTTCGAACGCCGCCTCGCGGGGCTCGATACGACCATTGGTTCTCGAGATAACAGGGGGGGGGTCGGATCCGACCCACCCCCACACTGTCGTGGGTACGGAAATAGCCCAGGCGGTGCCGGGTTAAGTCATCTGATCTGACTTATGTCAAACTGTCGGGCAAATTGTTATTGCGGACAACAACTATGATGCCAAAATAGGGTATTAGGATGCCAAATAAGATTGTTGCAATACTCATAGATATTTTGACGTAACTGAGCTTTGTCATGTCTATGTATAGGTAATTCTAATCAAGACTACAAGCCAGGAACCGCAAAATACCGTACAACCAGTAAAACGCCTTTTGGGCGAAGAACGAGCGAGCGACATAGTGAACCCTGCACGTGCGAAAGGGCGAGAGGGTACTTCCAACGGGCTTGTGCAAAACACCCTTCTAACCGGCCGCTAGCGGTGTGCCAAATTTGAACGCAATCGGCCCGGCCGTTCCTGAGATCTGGAAGCGGCATTCTGCACGTGCGCACGTGCAAACGGGGTCCAAACTGACTTTTGCACGGCACCCTACTAACTGGTCCCCAACCGTGTACCAAATTTGAGCGCAATCGGCCCAGCCGTTCTCGAGATCTGGGAGCGCCCCCTGCACGTGCGCACGTGCAGTAGCACCCCAACCTTAACACATGCAGATGAATTATCTGATGGAGACCTAACTGTGTACCGAGTTTCAATTCAATCGGCCCAACCGTTGTGCCGTTATTGAGGTTGCAATTTTGGGGGTTCTTAAAAAATGTCCAACTTTACCACGCGCCATGTGCGGTGGTTGGCAAGAACGCATGGTGGCCATCACACCACATAACTTTTACGTCCAAGTGACATTCAGTAAAGAAGACCGCTTGTCAATCGGATGTCCCGTTCCTAAGATATTAGCTTTTGAAGAGCGTCCCCACGGCCGGCCGGCCGGCCGGCCGGCCGCTCATACTCAGGATTTTCCCTTAATTCAGTACCAGTATAACGCCTTTTGGGGCGACTAACGGAGCGAGCGAGAGGGTGAGCCAATTGCACGTGCGAAATTGCGAGGGGGTACCTCCAACTGAGTTGTGCACGGCACCCTACTAACCGGTCTCTAGCGATGTGCCAAATTTGAGCGCAATCGGCCCAGCCGTTCTCGAGATCTGGAAGCGGCATCCTGCACGTGCGCACGTGCAAAATGGGTCCCAACTGACTTTTGCACGGCACCCTACTAACCGGTCCCTAACCATGTACCAAATTTGAGCGCCATCGGTCCAGCCGTTCTCGAGATCTGGAATCGACCCCTGCACGTGCGCACGTGCAGCAGCACCTCAACTCTGGCACATGGATATGCATTGCATAGTGGGTGCCTACCTACATGCCAACTTTCAGCGCAATCGGCCAAGTAGTTACCGAGATATTGCAACAATTACAAAAGTGACACCTCTTCGTCTTTTACGTGGCACGTGCATAAGGGGTCACCTACATGCATCGGGAATAGTCCAATACTTGGTAGAAGGAATGAAGCTACCCTACAAAAATTACCGCATGTAAATCGGTCAAGTGGTTGCTGAGATATAAGCCTCGCAAAAGCGTGACCACGGCCGGCCGGCCGGCCGGCCGCTCATACTCAGAAATTTCCGTTAATCTAAGGGAAGACTACGCTCGCTTCGCTCGCTCCGTAATGAACTCGCTCGCTCGCTGCGCTCGCTCGCTCGTAACGATGTTTAATGGGCTCAAATGCACGGTGCTGAGGTCAATGAAGGTCAAGTCATTTGGAAAATAAGACGTGCTTCTTATGGTATTAGGTGAACCTCGTCAGTGAATTATTACAAAGTCAGTGACTGACGATGAAAAGGTCACACAATTTGGCTGACAAAGAATTGTGATTAGGTGGGCAGAGATGAAACTTCAGAGACCTTATTTAAAGATGGACTCATTGTTCGTCAGTGCGGTAATTATCGGTGCACACTGCAGTCTGCACAGCATAACCAATAAGTAACAGCTCTTCTGCTGCAGTGTCCAGACATTTTCCCAGCATATGTGTTTGCAGTATGCAGTTGCAATATTCAGTTGCAGTACTTAAATGCTTTCCAAGGTCACTTGATCTGAACTGATGGTCTGACTGTAACAGGTGTGCTTGCTGCCGTCTTTTTCGAAAACCTGGAGGATGTTCAAAGATTCCCCACAGAGTTCACGCCAAGAATTATCGTTTATTAAAGTTTATCCCGGGATTCTGCGTTCATTTCATATCTGGTGGTTTTCTCGTGTTTTCGCACCGCTAATCGCAATGATTGCTGCGTGCTGCGTAGTTTAGTGGAATGTTTCCAGGTTGGTGGCGTGCTTCTGTTTACACCTATCGAGCCGCCCGGGGGCACGTCAGAGGCCACGACCAACCAGCGGCCGGGTCACATCGGCCGGCCAATGGGAGCGGCCGAGACAGCCGGTGCTCCCCGCACCACTATACTACCGCAGCGGCCGACGCTCCGCGGGCAGAACGTCGGTACCGTCGGCGGTGTCAGGTTACGCTTCTGAGACTCGCTGCTCTGTGTAGTTCGAAGCCCATTCCAACTCGTCGCTACCGATCTTTGGTGACCTGCGGAAGAAGAGAAGCGGTGAAGTTGAAGAACCTCGTTCATCGAAGCTCGCTCGGTGTTGAGTTGCTTCGCACCACTCCCTCAAACACGAAGCCCATCACGTGTCGCGTTTGGAGTAAGAAGTCAGCCGAGTCGGTTCCTCGCCGTCGAGGCGCACTCGCAGCCCTGGGTCGGCCTTGCCAGCTCGCCACTGTGAAAGAGATGCCGCACGACGCGCCTGACGACTGCGTCCACCCAGAGACGCCCCGGACTCCAGCGAGCCGAACTCACAGCGAGGAGGAGCTCCCGCACGTATCCAGCGAGCCGCCCTCGCCCACGGCGCTCAGCTCAGCGCCGGGGGAGCGCTCTCGACCTCGCCCGATCCTCTGCAAGAGCCACAGCGTGGACGTGGCGCCCCTCTCCAGCTCCGCAGAGAAGAGGAGCGTCTCTTTCCGGTTACCGGACCATCCGCACGACCACCGCTCGCACGGGAAGATGGCCGCGCTGGCGCAGAGTCTCAAGAAGCTGACGCTGGCAGCGGCGGCTTCTGAGAAGAGCAAGCCCGAGAAGGCCCCCAAGAGGATCTTGCGCCAGCCGGTGGTGCACGTGTATGTGCGCGGAGCGTCCGGTCTGCCCACTCAGAGGGTACCCCTGGCTGCCGTCAACGCCCTGCACAGGCAGCACCTGCGGGCGTCCATTTCGTGAATGTATTGATCTCTGTTTGCATGTTGTGTATAATGTTCCACGCGTTACACCAGACTTTCGAAAGACACAGTACTGATCAGTGATCATTGAATGTCTTTGTTAAGCTGACTTATGTCCGGTTTTCGCTGATGCATGGCGTCAGAGCCGAGAGCCTAAAAGACGGCTAGTGTTCACGATTTATCTTGTGATGAAAGCTGAGTGTAATAAGCTCACATTTCCAGTTAATATGCCACGGTCACCATTTGTGAATACTTGTCACTGTATGCACCACAATACATTGTTTGTGCATGCATGTTCATTGGATACATCACAACACATTGTTTGTGAATAATATTTGTGCATCGAATGAATACATTACAATACGTACTACAGTTCGTATTTTTTTCAAAAAGGAAAGAACGGGAGCATGAGAAGCGACGAAGAAATGGATTGGTTATTAGCTAACATCTCAACATCGTTCCGAAACGTCCTTGGATCCGAGAAAAAAAAAAAACACTTCTTGGCAATTTCACGTGTCACTCCTTAAGGACCGACACGTGAAATTGCCACGATTGTTGCACCTGCTACAATCGTGGCAAGTGCACGATATGGATAGTAACCTGGCGCTGTGTTCCACGCTTATGGATCTACCGCTACTGCGGCACTTTGAAGCGAAAAACTACCAATGATGTTTACAGACCTGCCCTAGCCTTTATGCGACCATATATTACTTTGACTTGTCCTTGCCTTTGAAAAGAAGTAAATTGTATGGTGTTATTTGAAGATGACAACGATTTGAAGAAGATAGCAACCACGCGAAAAAGTATACAAATGACGTAAAACCTTATTAGCTAGGCTCATTGATATTACTTTTCACGTCCGTGGCTCTTTTTCCGCGTGGATGGGGAAATTCGGGTTGCCATTAGGCCAAAAATAACCGCAGCCGGCGATTTTTCTATTGGTAACTCTGTGCTCAGGACTAAAAAAGCAGATGGCGTATACTTACCGTTACGGCCGCATGGGTGGAGCTTTTCTAGGAAAGCTGGAGGGGGTGGGGGGAAATGTCACCAATCTAAAAATGCCCGATTGTCAAGTTGAATAAAATGCTAGACTGAAACAATTCCTATCATTACAAAGAATCCTTTGCATAAAAAGTTCTTCCAAAGCTCCTCAATTAAATTTCCCAGGTCAAAAAGTCTGACAAATGAGCTAAAGTTCGTGGGGCACGGAGCTTATTGGTAGGACGAATGGAAAGTTGGTAGGGCAGCCACCCCACCAACATAGGAAGCTCCGCCCCTGCTTACGGATGGTAGGATTGTTAGAGGTTCTCCTCTTGAAACAATTTAAAATGGCGTACAACCCACCTCCTCTCGCTCAACGTTCCCTGCAACGCTCACGGCTCAAACCACTCATGCTGTGTGCCCTTACGAGCCCTCCACCACAGAGCACCACCCTGCGACCTCTTTGGAGCTCCGCCAGCTCGAGCCACCCTGAGATCACCGGTGGCTAAGGCCCTGTTCAGGCACCCCGGGGCCATTGTTGACACTTTGTCTGAGAAAACAGTCCCGAAACAAAACACACACGGGGCGCAGCTGTGGATTTTACGAGCTGAACACGAGCTCAAAGTGGGCGCCAACAGACTCCCTCGACTCTAGATCACGTAGTTAGGGGGCTTTTCACTAGGCACGCCGCTGAACAACAAGCAAACGATGAGCACAAAAACACGCTGAGTATCCGTGGTGGAGGAGGAGTAATTTCGATAGCTTTTGCAAAGTGGTGGTAATTTATGTGTATTATATGCTTGATACCTTCTAGCTTCAAGGATAAGTGCAAATACATGTGGTTTAATATACCTATTCCGGCCCGGGGCCGGGATGATTCAATAAATGTCACCGAGGTTTTTTAGCGAAAACTCCGAGGGCCGTTAGGCCCGAGGTGATTTTGCTAAAAAAGCGAGGTGACATTTATTGAATTCCCGGCCTTAGGGCTGGAAGGTGTTTCCCATACCTGCTAAAAGGCTCACAACTATATGATAGTGACGTCAGCAGCCGTGTGGTTCAACGTGTTTAACCACACCCCTTGAACCACACGGCTTGTAATATTAAAGCATTACATTAAACTTTGAAAAGTGTGGTACAGTGCACGTGCCGTTTAAATGCCTGGATGTCTCGATTTATTCATGCAATGTGGCAGGTATGGGAAATAGTTCTAGACAGAAAAGCTTAATCATTAGGTAAAGGTTAACAATGTTATCGGTAGCCATGTTATGGTTTGATATTGCTTTCAAGTTAGCTACGGTATGCGTAATTTGCACGTTCGTCGAACATAGGCAACACCACGCTATTCCCTATGATTTTCTGACTACCTCGAAAGCACATATAACAAGCATTTTCAAAAGAAATTGCACCTTCTGTCATACATTTCTTTATTATCTTACCAAAACCAAATTTTAGCCGTTTGTAGCTAAAATTGTTTTATGGTTCCAAAGCAAAGCATTTTTGTTATTCTAGCAGAGTTCGCTGGAATTCTTGCTTCTGAAATAGTAGTTTATAATGCAAAAATAATCTGCCCTCAACCGAAGAGTGAGTTCAAGGAGCTGCCTAATTAGTGTACGCTCCACTGCAATGATAGTGAGCTTTTCATCTCCATGAAGAGAGCGTTTGCCTTGAACCTTTCAACAAACCTCATTTCAAGAGACGCAGCACACGTTTTACTATCCACCTAGGTCGTTTCAGAAGCGACTCAAATGATCTAAGCCCTCGTCATCAACATTGCTTGCATTTCCAAGTAGAGCAATCACCCCAGCCTGCTAGTTTGCTCTCATCCTGAAAGGCGTGTAGTCAGAACGTCCAGTTAGGTAATTTGGTTCGCGTTGAACCGTCAGAAACTACCGCGGCCTTGCTGACAACTGCTTGATGAAAAGCCGGATTCTAGCCTTCAGAGTGTGCATCGGTGTGCGGTCAGTCTTCTGGGAATGACCACCCAGCTCAATTGGTGTGGAGCCGGCAATCGTCACGGACAGGGAAGTGACCGCTGGTCAGGGGTCAGCACATCTGCTGTCGGCACTTGGAAACCGGCTCAGGACGTGTTGCGAGGTCGAGAAGCCAAGCACTAAAATACACGGAACTCTTGATAGTTTTAACAACTATGAAAATAAAATTACAGAGCGCTAACTGGTTCCACAAGCTGGCTCTTCTTTACCATTGAAATCACTCTGTATTTCGAAAAGAGAGGATCCTTATTCCTTTTCCAAATCAGCCAATCCACCTAACATGATGTTTGAAACTAGGCGGTCAAACATTGACAGACAGTGCTTTATTGGATTGAGAACGGGCGGCGAACGACATGCCTACGTCACTCGCTGCTATTTTGGGACTTTGCAAATAGAGATAATTGCTTATCTCCACTGCGAGAGCTAATCCCAAATCATGATTAAATTTCCAGATACAAATCTGAAGCTCTCGATTCAGCGAACACCGTTGTATTGATCTTCGGAAGCATTTCCTAGATAGGTACTTACCTTGTCATTTCTACCGTTTAGTGCGCTCACTTCTGTCTTCTACGCTCATCTCATAGACGTCCTGCTTCTGGGAGTTAAGTAGGTATACATTATATAACTTAATGAAAACTGAATGAAAGGTGGAAGCTGAAAGAGAGAGAGAGAGAGAGAGAGAGAGAGAGAGAGAGAGAGAGAGAGAGAGAGAGAGAGAGAGAGAGAGAGAGAGAGACAGAGAGAGAGAGAGAGAGAGAGAGAGAGAGAGAGAGAGAGAGAGAGAGAGAGAGAGAGAGAGAGAGAGAGAGAGAGAGAGAGAGAGAGAGAGAGAGAGAGAGAGAGAGAGAGAGAGAGAGAGAGAGAGAGAGAGAGAGAGAGAGAGAGAGAGCCGGCTTATGTCATTGAGAGACATAAGCCGGAACATATAACATTTTAGACATTTAAAGACATGATGTGGAGATGAATTGTGAATTAAAATGAAATCGGACTTACTCCACAAGAGTTCGTTGGGTCGGAGCTTTCGAATTGTATTACAATTCTTCGTCAGCGAGAGTCGTATCGGATGTTAAGATCGAATCGAAGGTACAGTGCGGATCGAACAAAATATGGGTCGGACAGGAGGGTCTCTGAGGCAACTAGTTGGTCTTGAAATAAACATACAAACACTGGGAAAACACGTGAATAATAACAGGATGCACACTTACTAGACCATCTCTGCTTTAGGTACTGTTTGCACCTAATCTATGCAATTTTTTTACATGTCATTAACTGTATTTTTACCTACCTGCCTATATTTTTGTATTAGATATTTTACTAGTGTGTTTTATACCCATTTTACAGGCTTTTTCTAGTAAGTGTGCATCCTGTTATTATTCACGTGTTTTCCCAGTGTTTGTCAGGGGGAGGCACTCGCCTTGGCCGTATATGGGCCAGAATGTCTAACGATTTCCGCCATGTTGTGTATACCAAAGTCTTGAAAAGTTGATCACTGCAATCAAACTGCAAGCATGAAGCAGCAGCACTTTTGAGTAGTGTACCTCTCACTAAACTGCACCTCTGCTACCGTACATGCAATTTATATTTCTGGTATACACAACATGGCGGAAATCGATAGACAAAAACAAGTCACCAATGCTCCTTCCAGTATATATTAGAGTTCAGTGGTGTTTGTATGTTTATTTCAAGACCAACTAGTTGCCTCAGAGACCCTCCTGTCCGACCCATATTTTGTTCGATCCGCACTGTACCTTCGATTCGATCTTAACATCCGATACGACTCTCGCTGACGAAGAATTGTAATACAATTCGAAAGCTCCGACCCAACGAACTCTTGTGGAGTAAGTCCGATTTCATTTTAATTAACATTTTAGAGATATTGGCTTCTGAAAGGGCTGAATCTGATCGTCTGGTGCTGTGCGATAGGTATGTACCTAAGTCTGCCACGTCTTCGCATAGGAAAGGACGGAGCACTATAGTCAGTAGTCTGGCATTTCCCTATATTTATTGCCTGTCAGGGACATGCAGCTGAAGAAAATGGATCATGATCGGTGGTCTATCATATCCCATATACCGCACGGCAATCCAATCATAATCAGTGACCACTACTCAAAACACACGACCAAACAGCCGAAAAGAAAAACACAAATTACCATAGACAAAATGTCACATACCAACAATTACCACAGATAAAGTATCGTAAACTTTTCCTTTCCCTAATGCAAATCAATTCCGACAACACTCACACTATCACAAGCTATCTCAATAGTATTCATGGAAGACACAAAGCTATTAGCCGTTTTCACGACGGGTTATCCGGCGAATGCACCTGATTCGACCAAATCTGCACATAATCTCTTTTATAGCAAATATCATCATTTTATGAATTTATTTAAGT